GGGAGTTTTGACAGTTTTTCGAAAACTCAAAATTCAGTTGAACAAAGCAAAAAATTGCAAAATGTAGACACTCCAAACGGACCAATTTTTGCTCCGTTCGGTCCGATATTCGTGTACGCAAGTCGCGCCTGCATACAAGTTCCCGAAGGTAATTTCGATCCGTGATTTGCAAACCCCTGCGCGCGTATGTGGAGAAAGTCTCTGTGCTACCACATGATTACACATTTTCAATGTATAGCTATATTTAAAATGATTCTTACTATCATATTTTTTTTATGTGGGACTAAATTCATTTTTCCATATAAATCATTTTTCAATGGTAATCTTTGAGCTCTAATTTTTCATTCACCCAAGCTTCATTTTTGGTAAATAAATATATAATTTTAATACTCTCACGGAGGAGAACACGGATCAACTTTGATCTTCCAAATTAGACCAACGAATCTCACCAAAAATTTTGCCAAAAGTGAGTCATTTACTCATTTTTTCCAACAAATAATACACATCACCATATTAATAAATTTTAGCGTATACAATACAAAATTATTATTATTTTTTGTCACTTTTGGTCAGCTTTAGTTGATAATTTCGTCTTTCATAAACCTATCATTTTATGATTTTAATTTTGGGCAAAGTCTGAAAATGATGTTTGCCCATAAAAGAATCTAATTTTTTGTTCCACCCACCCTTAAAGTTAGTACCTAGTGCTTGCATGTGACATGCCCTATTTCCTATCCATTCAATTTTTGTCAATTGGTTTATTATTAATTTTTTTAACATGTTCGGTTGCGTACATTGAATCTTCAATTCAATGAAAAATCAACTTTCAAGATGCTCGAACGGCCGACAAAACGTATCAAAATCTTCTAACTTGTGATGAAAACACAAAGTCCATGAAAATGCCCCCATTAGACTCAATTATACCTTATTTAAGAGATTTCATCGATAAGTCATATCAAATTATTACAAAACACCCTATTGTTAAATTAGCTTATTTATACTATTGTCTCGAATGACTCACTTTTAAAAGTGAAAGAGAAAGGGAAAGAAACATTTACACCAAGTGAAATCAATAGACAAATTCTTTTAAGAAAGTAAGAAAAAGCGTCACCTTTCTTCGATTCAAAAATTGTGATTAATGAATTGGAGAAAAAAGAAAGAAGTTAAGATAAATGCATCATATAACTTGGAGAAAAAAGAAAGAAGTTAATATCAATGCATCATATAACTCGAATGCAGTCGATTCCTTAATCTATCCATTGCTTCAATCCATGTTTGGTTACTATTTACAAACTGTTTATAATGGGTTGAATCACTTTTTATCCATACATTTCGTGAGAATTGAGATCCACATGTACTAAATACTTATTCATCACTCATTTTTATTTATTTTGGAATTTGAACCAACTTCCCAACCATGATTTTAGTGAATGCATAAAAAAATAAAAAATAAAAAAATTAAACCTAGCATAATAAATATTTTCAATATTCAAAATCTTAGCTCCCAACATCACTTGGATGTTTTTAGTATGTCGAAGTGCACATGGTTAAGAGAGGCGTTTCGTTAGTTGAATTGAGGGACTTTTAAAGTTGTTTTTTTTTCTTTTTTCTTTTTTTTTTTTTTGTATATTAGAGTTAAATTGATATAATCTTTTCTCATTTCGTGATTGTTGGGTATGTAGGTGTTCACAAACTTTCATTCTTAGGATGAGTCCCAACTTTCTCTTTGAAAAGAAAACAATAAAAATCAAGTTGGACATCCTGAAATCATGGTTACTATTTACAAACTGTTTATAATGGGTTGAATCACTTTTTATCCATACATTTCGTGAGAATTGAGATCCACATGTACTACATATTTATTCATCACTCATTTTTATTTATTTTGGAATTTGAACCAACTTCCCAACCATGATTTTAGTGAATGCATAAAAAAATAAAAAATAAAAAAAATAAAAAAATTAAACCTAGCATAATAAATATTTTCAATATTCAAAATCTTAGCTCCCAACATCACTTGGATGTTTTTAGTATGTCGAAGTGCACATGGTTAAGAGAGGCGTTTCGTTAGTTGAATTGAGGGACTTTTAAAGTTGTTTTTTTTTTCTTTTTTCTTTTTTTTTTGTTTGTATATTAGAGTTAAATTGATATAATCTTTTCTCATTTCGTGATTGTTGGGTAGGTAGGTGTTCACAAACTTTCATTCTTAGGATGAGTCCCAACTTTTTCTTCGAAAAGAAAACAATAAAAATCAAGTTGAACATCCTGAAATCGACTTCTATAACCCCACATTCTTCTACGTTTAACAAGCTTATGTCACGAACGCAACATCTTCCAATCATGTATCTAACGATACATGAATAAACTCAACCTTCATTACTTGATTCACACGTAAACTTTGACTCGACTCCCAAATTTGAGAAGAAGAAAAAAATCTTCTAAAACTTGGGTCATTTTCGCCAGTCATGTAAATCAATAACTGGCATATAACTGGCAAATGGCATTGGTCTATTTATTAATAGTTGAGACCCGTGACAACCCTTTTTTTATAATTAAATAAATTGATTTGTCATAGTTACAAAAGCTTCTTTCAATTCACATGCAGCTATATAACAACCAGACAATTCTCGTACGCATTCGTAATCCAATGAAGATTCACTGTCTTTCTCAATATGCCCTCCAATTTTTTTGTCAGTTTTAAATTCCTGCACTGTACATTATCGAATCGGCATGGTCCTACCGTTACCCTTCGAAAGCGCATTGGATAAACCTTTAAACTGATGCAATAGCCTGCCTCAATCTTTATGATAAAAGGATTGAGGCACTCTTTTTTTCTCAAAATACCCTTCTTTCAAAATTATATTCTTTTTTTCTAGGATTACACTAATTTCGAGGATGATTTAATTAACATGAGATTTGAAAGTTTCTTAGCCCTTGTTCGACAAAAATTAAAAAGAGTTTTTTTCTTCTTTTTTCGGAAATATGAGTTTTGGAATATTGATTTTTTTTCCGGAATGCATGGTTAAAAATTAGAAAATCATTTTAGATTTACGTGCAAATGTATTATTGTGAGAATATATGATTGAAAATTAGCTTGGAAAAAAAGAGTTACATAAAAATAATTGTCAAACATGGCCTTAGAATCTTTATTTTTACATCTAAATTTTTCAGAGACAAAATATTTGAATATATAATAAAGAAGTTCACGGCCTCCACATCTTAGATTAGTCCTTTGGCGGACTCAAAAGCAGTTATGTCATTAAATAGCACTTCATCTAATTTAGATAAACAGTTTTATTCACATATACTTTGAAAGTTGTACTTTGTTTCTACTTCTCTACATTGTACGTTTACAGTATTAAAATTTTATACAGAGTACCATTCATCCCGTCTAATATTGTTGCATCCTATCCTCTAAAAAACAACAACGTTATCTAAATTTCAATCGAGATTTGAGCTGTTGAATTTTCCATAATTTTGTCGAGAGCATTATTTGAAAATCACCTATAAAGTAAGGGTCTTAATCCCGTCTAATATTGTGGCATCCTATCCTCTAAAAAACAACAACGTTATCTAAATTTCAATCGAGATTTGAGCTATTGAATTTTCCATAATTTTGTCGAGAGCATTATTTGAAAATCACCTATAAAGTAAGGGTCTTAAATGCATGCATTTAATTGAGTTAGGTCACTTTTTATTAATAAGTAGATGTACCATGTTCATGAAAAGAAAGAAAAGGAAAAGGAAAGTAAAGTAAAGTAAACAAATCTATAGTTGATTTGGTCATCATTAAAAATTACCTAGCATTTTCCTAAATACTATGTTTCAAATTCTATTCATGAGTTGACAGTCCATTTTCAATACCATGTTTGGTTTATCATATAAATGTAACACGTTCATGTCCAGTCTTATCCAGTTATATTTTAAAAATGTCATATTTTTCCTGCCTTTTCTATTGAAAAATAAATACTATGTTTCAAATTCTATTCATGAGTTGACAGTCCATTTTCAATACCATGTTTGGTTTATCATATAAATGTAACACGTTCATGTCCAGTCTTATCCAGTTATATTTTAAAAATGTCATATTTTTCCTGCCTCTTCTATTGAAACGGGAAAACTTGAATTTTTGAATTCAAATATGGAGAGTATTTGAGCCCCATTTTTATGAAAAATGTATTTTAGAATAATAGATTGATGAGAAATGTGTGATTAAAAAATGAAAAAAAGTTTATGATTTACGTGTAATATTATTTTAATGAATAATGTGTGGTTGAGAAAAAAAGAGAGAAAAATATATTTTGAAAAGAATGAGAATCAAATAAAACCAAGATTTGTAATATCATATTATCATTAGTTTTCGACCATTAATTCGAGTACTAAAATGAATCACATTAACTATTGAATTTAGTTGGTCGAGTTGAATGTATCTTCTAAATAAACAAAATGATCTTTTTAATATAGTTAAATTAAATCTCTATTTGATGGAAATTAAAGTTAGATTTTTTTTTAAATAGATTTTAATAGAAGTTGATGAAATGTGAGTTGAAAATGAGTAATACTGTTTATAGTGAAAATTATCGATTGTCTTCCTACGAATTCGCAAGATAACTATCGATAGTTTTCACCATTATTCGGTGAGGAGTTATAGATAATGGAAATGTGTGCTTAAAATGTGACTTGAACTTTTTTTAATTTCACTGAAGGAAGGCTAAGCCCTTGTTTGAGCCAATTTTTTTAGGAATGATGAATTTTTGAATAGTGTATTGATAATAAATGTGTACTTAAAAATAATAAAAATTTTAAATTTATATATAATATTATTTTATTAAAAAATATGTGATTGAAATGATATTAAAACATTGTTGAAAAATATGTTCTCCTAAAAGAATGGAGCTCAAACAACTGCTTAATATTAAGAGGGCATAAGTGTCCAAAATAGAAAAATGGGCACAAAATGTTTGTCGTGATTATCAATGTCGTAATCAGGAGCTGTCTCCGATTCCTGCCCATTTACATATAACTCTCTTCCCCATGATGTAACCCACCCCACCCGTCTAGCATATAGATCCGTTGATATATACGTTCATAAAGTGTCGATGGGATTTCGATTATAGAATGTGGTTGAAAAGAAATTGGAATTGAGCTCTGACTTGAAATCTCTGGATTTCTTTTTCCATTTTTTCTAAAATGGCAGTTAACTCAAACGAAGAGGTGAGCTTTTTTGTTTTCTAAACTTGGGTTTCTTGTCATTGTCTTGTTTTTTTCTTTTTTCTTTTTTTTCCTGTTATAAAAAATGCTGTTTTTCTGAAGCTTCACTGCGTGATTAGATATTTTGGTGTCTGAATTTACTTTCTTTAAATGTGGATTTCCTGCTCAATTTGTTGATTTTTGGGTGATTCTGTTGTTTTTCCTTGCGTTAGTCTAGTTTATTGGTCGATTACGGATATTTGAGGATTAACAAGTTCCACATGTGGGTGGAAAACAGTCGGAGTCCCCGTTCTTCTAACTATATAGTGTTTGTGCCCTTTTTTTAGGGACGGAGGAGAAGGGGGTGAGGAAAATTTACTGCAGCAGCTTAGTTTTTTCTTCTTGGACTATGAAAAGGAAATTTCAATCTTGTTTCCGGAAGATAGGAAGAGCAAATTCTCAGGAATAACCGAATATGGGATTTTCAAGCTATTACATAATGCAGATATTTCCTGAATTGTGCTTAAAATGTAAAAGATACTAGAAAAAATATAATGCAGATATCTCTTGTTTGGGAAAATAATTTGGCCGGAAAAAATGAAGCATAAGTGTGTTCTTTTACCTTCTTCACCTTATAAGTATCGATTTCTATATTTGAGGCATCGAGTTGTTTTTGTATCTGAACAGGGCAACCCTCAAAATTCGCTGGACATTTTGAAAAAAATAATTCATTGTACTAAATATTTATAATGCTTAAAGTGTTATTGCCAAATTCGATATTTGGTGCATTCATAGGTAAATTTGCAGTGTTTAATCGTGAATGTTTATTTTCTGATAAGTGAAACTTCACAGTAGGAGTTCATAAATATAATCTTTATACTGCTCTTAGCTTGATTGATAGTTTGAAGTTCTGTTCTGCTGGTCTTTCAATTGTTACTGTTTGACAGAGTCGTCGCAAGGAAACTGATCATTTCTGGGTTTTATACATTCAATGAATGATACAATTTCTTATTTATTGGTTTTACATCTAATTTCAAACTTTGAGTAAAATCGAACTCTGGAATTTTATTTAAACGCCAAGTCATTTTCGTTGAAATAAAAATATGAGTGTATTTCTGTACCCGACTTTGCCTGCATCGGTCTCTTTATCTGCTTCATCGTACAATTTTTTTCTGTTTTTCCTTTTTGTATCCTGTAATGGATTTTTTCCCCTCTCGTGATTTATTCTTGAGATTTAAATTATTTAAACTGCATGATTTTACTTTACCTTTCTTTTCCCTGCTGCCTTGTACTGTTTGATTATATTCATAAGCTGTATCAGTAATAGAAAACCAACAAATTGCAATAATTTTTTTCTTTCTTCTTCAGTGCCAGAAGGATCACGTTGTGGGGTTACCTGATGAAGGAACTGCCAACCCCGAGTCCAAGCCACAATTGAATGTTGTCAGCCATATGGAAAATCTTAATACAACGAAAAGTGAGATGCATTTTAATGCTGAATCAGATTTGCAAAATGACTCAAACCTAAAGACGGGTGAAGCAAATAATTATGTACCATGCATTTTGGATGTTGATATTGAGAAAGGAAACCCGCACAACCCTAAATCCAATGACGAATCTGTTGTGAATTTGAAGACTGATGATTCCTTAGTAGTAAGTTCTTCGTCTGATGATACCTTGGGGTCATTTTCAGTGTCCCACTAGTGCACTGCGTTGTTGATTTGTGAACTTTTTGGTCAACCATTAAAAGCATCCTATTGTATCATCCGTGTGATATGCAATTTAAATCGATAATTAACCATTGTGCAGAGGGCATTGCAGAGAGAGATTAGCTTACAGCTAGGAGGAAAATTCATGCAGCTCTTGATGAACCATGCGTCTGATTTACCCAAGTTCGCTTCAAGAGGTGGCTTACACAACCATTTAGTCGCTTTTTTTTGGTGAACTATTGAATTAGGTTTGCGTTTTTTATAAATTCGATTGATTTATCAGCATGCATGCACGTCTTTTTAATTATTATATAAGCCCATGATTCTGGAATTGCCATCCTCTTCTTCTTTTCTAACTTGTTTAGTGTATAATGCATACCTTTATTCAAGAGAAAGGTGATAAATTCGGTACTGACTAATGAGGTTTTATAGACCCCAAGTTTGGAAAATTCGCGATATTATCCAATTAGGAGACAAGTTGTTATTCTCCTTGTACATTTTGTGCTTGTTTGTAGTGCTTATATGTCGTGGGTCCTACAAAATGTGTGGATGATAAATGCATAGTAAGTTGTGGGTCTATAAAAAATTAAGATTTGCCAAACACACTATTAAGCTTGTTATCATCATTAAAGGCAAAACTTTTTCTATCATGGTCAGGCCATGGGGCTGGACATTTTTGAGAAAATACATGTCGATATAATTTTTTTTTTTAAGCAATTTTTTTTATTGGAAATGGAGATTTTTAAATATAGCTAACTGTATACTCATTGCAATTTCAACATTTACCGCATGAATAAAATTCACTTGCTTATGAGCTTTTTTCCTGTATTGTGAAACAGATAAATATCTGATCGATAGAATCTATGATACGCATACTAACAGATCAAGGAAATACAAGCGATCTGCCTCCTTCAATTCCAGAAGAGTCGTTCTCCTATTCTCGGTCTTGTAAGCATAATCTTTGCCAAGCACTTTATTTAATAGAACCATTTTTCAATTTTATTACCAGTTCAAAGAGATGGGTAGAGTACACAAAGCAAGGTAAAAATAAATTGAACAAAGTACAATAAAACATCCAGTACACATCCAATGTTGAAATCATCCTTTATTGTTACAATAACGACAAATTCGACCCGCATTGTTCTCAAAATTTCGGGTCTTCTTTTTCATCTCCGATTACTTGATAATTTCAGACCCGCCAACAGTCAAATAATTAGTAAACCTTTGAGAGGTTGATATAATAATAAAAAAATTGGCTATGTACCTGATTGGAGAGGCGAAAATGGATTCATGTAGCTGACACCAAGTTCGTTGTGCATAAGGTTAGCTTACTAAATAAATTATATTTTCCTGCGCAGGTCTAGTATGGGAACTATAATCCTAATATATCTGACACTGAGAGTGAGGCAGATTGGCGACGGCTCTGGTAATCTTTAGCGCAGTTTGTTGTGCCGAGTGTTACGATCTTTTGTGAAAGAATCCCGTTTGGTACTATTTGGCTTCTCTTCCTCTTTTGCTTCTGTTTATCTGGTGTATATATTTCATCAATGTACATAAATTGAGAATCTGGAAGTACATACATTGACTGTTTCAATTGATTTTTGTATACAAATTTCCAGTTTCATTCTTGTCATTTCTGCACATTTGTTGTGGAAGGTTATTTGAAAAAATTTAAAATTTTTAGCTTAATTATTTGTCATACAGCGCATTGGCTAAATGATTTTTATTGGTGGCAAATCCATCCTTGCTCTGTGGAGATTTTTACGCCACAACTTAAATAGAGATGGGGGATTTGGCATTCTCCCATACTTGGTCTATTTAAAGAATGAGTTCATACAAATAGTTGGGTTACATCCAAGCTTACCTCAAAATGTTCAATTTGGGGAGTTCAGTACCCTTTTTATATTTTTTTCGACATTAAACCCATTCATGATTCATTGACACATTATTTTACGCTTTACTTAAAGCACAAGTGGCATTGAGAGACAAGTGGGATATGTCAATTCAAAGTGATGTGTCAATAAATCATTGAATAGACAGCAAGTTAGACAATCAATTTTGAACAACAGATCTTATTAAATGATCTATCTTGAAAAGACCCAACACAGTTCTGTAAGCTAAACAAGGTCAACTCTACCAAAGAAAAGGGACATGTGATATGATTTGTTATTATATTGAGAGATTTACTTAGGCAAAAGTGATTCAAGCAGCAGTGGTGAGCAAAGTCAGGACTTTAAACCATTAGAACACAAGCATTAGAAGGGCCGTTGTGCTTGATGGCAAAGTTTTCAATACCTAAAAGCATCACTAACTTACGATAACATGGACCCATATAATCCATCGTTCATAGAATTCAAACAAAAACGAATAACTACACACACTAACTAAAAAACTCGAGTTCTCAACCTAGGAACTTAGCAGCCCGAATTGAAAGTCAACAGTTCCCTTGATGTTTCGGCTTTATAGAATCTTTCTCGCTAATACTGCTGCAACCTCACACTCGATGAGAGTAGCTATATAAGACCATTAGCTTGACACAATAAGCATTGGGTGAATTTCCAAATTTTTTCGTTGCCTTCTTTCTCCTCGCATATAATCTCTAGCATGCGCAGCCACCTCCTTGTTGCTCCGTCTGGGATGTAACTGTAGACGGCTTCAAATTGACATCGACCATATCTTCCTGTCTTGCGGAGGAAAGAGTTCCCATTCCTGGCAAAGCGGCAGCTATTTTTCGAAACAAAGGCTGCAATATGGCTTGTATAAGGTGCAAAAGAAGACAAATCATAACTTCAGAACTCGTTAAACAAGTTCCAGTCTACAAATCTATTCTAACTCAATGAATTCCGAGAATTTTAGGTGGGTGGAGACATCATTCTCTATCCTCATACGAGATACACACTAGCTAAGATTAAATTTCCAAGTGCTCCATTAGAGTAACATTGGGAGCGTAGATAATTGTAACCAGTTCCAATTATATTACAGTCAAGAAATATCTTCAGAGATAACTTCTCTAAGAACTTAATATTTCCAGAAAGGATATTATCAAATGCAGTATTCTTCAGAACTCAGATACACAATTGAGCAAAGAGGTATGCTTACCTTTATATTAAAACCTGCTTTAGCACTCGTTTCTATAAACATGATACCAGATTCACGAGCCTTCCTGTCTCCTTCCTCAATTGAAACTTGCCTGTTTATGCAGAACACAACCTTAGATCAATTCTGGACAATGAATTAGTAAAGAATTTCTTGACTCAACTAATTCATTTGAACAAAAAGGAAAAGAAATTGCCATCGCGTCAATGTGACCTGCAACTAGATTGGAGGAAGCCTAAACAGCTATCGGAGGAAGACGAGAAAAAGTGAATGACAATCAATATTTTTGCTCTCACCTTTTATCAACAAGATCAGTCTTATTCCCCACAAGAACAACAATGACATCACTCCCTCGTTCTGTACGTACTTCCTCAATCCACTTTGAAGTGTTCAAAAATGACTGTCGATCTGCGGAGGCGGCGATTTATCAAAATAATTAGTTCAAGTAAGGTTCACTAAATAACTAAAGTAAATTTATATTACAATAACTATTACAGACGAATAAAACCTAGTTAATAGAGAAAGACCAACTTTTTATGTATTATGTAGCTTGAGTACCGAAAAAAGGCAAATGACCTTGTGGCATAGCTTTTATAAAATTAAAAAAAGGAGCTTTTGAGACCCACAAACTGCTTTTGAATCTAGTTGGTTAATTTTATAAAAGTGTTTCTTCTAGTTAGAAGAGATTTCAAAGGAAGCTGTCCAATGTGGTTTCCTCAATGAACACTTCCAAAATAGAAAGTTCTTTTTAAAAATTAGTTTACAAACAAAAATAAAGGGAGTTTCCTACAAAAGCTCATCTACATAAAGCAAAAGTCATACCAAACATGTCCTAAGTATAACATCGTGAGTTTGTGAAAGGAAACTCCTAGTGCTATTACTCACTGGAAACATCATAGACAATCACAGCCACAGAAGAATCCCTAATGTAACTTGGAATAAGACTCCTAAATCTCTCTTGACCAGCAGTATCCCTGTGACCATAAAATGTTTTCGTTTCAAAGCACATAAACATGGATACAACACGATGCAGTGTTCAAACTTCAAAGTAAAATGAATAATATTTTTAAGTACAGATAAATATTAAAACGTTATCTTTATTCATGGGACAATGTCAGTAACATTTGGATAAAGTCATAATGTCTTTAACCAAAACAAGGTAAAGAAAGAAGTGATTAGAGTAATAAATTACTGCACCAGATAATGCTATTCTTGCAGTGAGTCGTCTGATAAGTTCACGAAACCAGTTTTTATCCCTTCAACTTTCGTGAACATATCCTTCAAACTGTACTTCTATATATAATCCACAGCCAAAAAGGCGAGAAAAGAACATAATATTAAGAAATGCATATAGTCATGCTGTCTTCAACAAATCCAGGAAGAAGAATGTATTACCAGAGCTGCAAGCGAACTGTTCGATCTTCAAGGTACATTGTTTTTGACAAGAAGTCAATGCCAATGGTGGCCTGCATATGAAATTACAAAATTTAGACGTGGGTTGACAAAATAGAACTGCAATCTTTTAGATCATCATATCACCAGCCATTTATCTATTTTTTCCAATAGTTTAATGTTCAGACTTCTAAATTCCTGCATTTAACAAAGATGAATACTTCTCCAGCAAATCTATACAACCCGACATTCTTTTATTCTTACATTTCAGAACGCAAGGTCACAATATTTCTATCTAAGCTATACTCCAGTTTCCCTATGTGCAAAAATTGAAGTTCTTTAAGGTTGAAAAATTAAGCAAATCACAATTCAAACATCACAAGAAATTTTAATTGATTAACAATTAAAAAACCCATATCATGAAAGACTAAAATTTTCCAAAACTGCTAAGGTTCAGAAACAGACATAGAACATAAAATTAAAAAGAAGAACAAATTGCACAATAACTAGAACGTAGGTGTAACGCAGAATCTCCCATCGGCTCACAAATAAAAACTAATTATACTTTTTCCTTAAATTTAAAAAATCAAATTATTCAATGCAATAGTAGAAAAATTCAAATTCACGACGACGTCCCTTCTTCTTCGTTAAACATCTCTTACATTTAAGAATCAAATTAACCCCCAAAATCACATTATTTCTTCCCATATACATGCAAATTCAGATCATAAAACATAAGTCCAAGAGCGACTAACACAAACCTGATAAGTGGTGTCGAATTTATCATACATGAAACGGGTAATTATGCTTGTTTTTCCAACAGATTGATCGCCGAGAAACACCAATTTGTACTTGGCTAAAGGTGACACCACAGCCATCTCTGTTTTGAGTATATATAATTGTACTTATAAAGTTTGAACTGTTACAATCATATAAATAGACGTATGAATTTATTCAATTGTTTTTCGATTTTCCAGAAATGGATGAACAGATCAGATCTGAATGTGAAAAAGGAAAAGAGAAAATTAAGGAAGAAGAATGAGAATTGGGAGGTTGGTTTGCATTGAATTTGTGAATTTATGGAAATTGTGCGTTTGAGAAAGAGCCAGTCATGCCATGCACTAATCAATTCATTTGGCGTATGAAACCGCCAAGTCAAAGTCAAATTCCCTTTTCTAAGCAAATTGCATGGGAGTCCTCTAGTTTTATGACATATAAAAATTAAATTAAGTACCCGTCTGATATAGATTTTTAACAAATAAAGTTGATCGAAACTAGTGGAGAAGAAGATCGTTAATGATGACTTGAACTTTCATCTCCAATGCATTCTATAGATTGTTCAGATCATCTCCAGTCATGCCATACACTAATCAATTCATTTGGAGTATGAATACTGCCAAATCAAAGTCAAATTCCCTTTTATAAGAAAATTGCATGGGAGTCCTCTAGTTTTAAGAAATATAAAATTAAATTAAGCGCCCGCCTGATATAGATTTTTAACAAATAATGTTGATCGAAGCTGGTGCAGAAGAAGATCGTTAATGATGACTTGAACTTTCTTGTTTAGATCATCTCCAATGCATTCTATAGATTGCTATTTAGGTTGCACAAAAGTTGAAAAATTTATAATCTACATGGCATTGACCTCTAGTAAACAGATACTCGAGCTCAACATTAGAGCATCTCCATTTCATTTCATGAATTGCAATACAGACGGCATCTAAATAGAAAGACTTTCGATCTACTTAAGATTAATGCCTAATGAATAGATGGTCCATTTCAAATTTCGTCTCTAAAATATTTTGTCTATAGTAAAGTATAGAAGAGATTTCAAATAATTTCATCTCCAAAATGTTCTGCCTATAACAAAATTTTCAATTCTAATGTATAGAATAGATTTCAAATAATAAACACGAGAAAGAAAGAGAAATAGAAACAAAAACATAAAGAAATATTATACTATGTTTATTCATTCCGTTTAGAAGAACCTTGACATCTACACAAGTCCTTTTGACAATGTCTACCTTTTTTTCTTACCACGTCATTAGACATAATCCTTTACATGTTGTATTGGAGAAGAAATTTTATAAATATATATTGTCCGTTTCTACATGATGACCTTTTTTTTTAATGATGTTCACTATATGCTCTTAGTCTTCCATTCTATCTAGGTATTTGACAATTTCTTAAGAAGCGCATCTAAATCTGCATAAATATAAATTTTATTGAATCACTCTCGTGTAACAGAGGTTTTGAATCTGAACAGAGTTGTAGACATTGTTTTCCTCCATCGTGTTACTTTAATGGATTCTCTATTAAAAAAAAGGTTGAACCCCAATCTTGAGAACCTCTATCGCCCCGCTCCTGAAATATTGTGAGGGAGGTTAATCGCGAAATATGCCCCAACAGATCAGGGATCAAGAATTTGCTCGTACATTGGTACCTACAAAGAGTTCAATTACATATCTCAAGAATCGAACTCTCACACTGTGACTGTCAACAAAATTGAGACTACCTCACTCATAGTATTTACACCACTGGGTTATGTCTCGGGGGGCTTTAATGGATTCTCTATTAACTTGCATTTAAGATGCTTTCTAGAATCGAAAGATTTATTTATAGCCAAGATGGTGATGATTTGCCAAATCGCAATTTAAATAATGGGAAAGTAGTGTCACCCATAACCCTCGTTTGGCTTTTATTAAAAATTATAATTCATTTTTCTTCTTTTTCTTATTAATCACACATTTTTCAATAATTTTTCTTTCTTTTTAATCACACATTCTTCAATTAATATTATTCCAATCATTAAAATTTCAAATAATGAGACCCAAGCGAGAACACGAAGACAATATTACTAACTATAAAGATTACTTTCGAAAAAGTAATTTTATAATTTTTTTAAATAATAACTTAAACCAAAATGAGTACGAGGGACAGAAAGCTTCAATCCTAGATCTCTAGCTGGGTGGGTTCCACTTCCACCAAATATTGACTGAATCTTAAACAGGCATAAACCCTAATTAAATCACATCAAATCAGAATCTTACAAATCAACGGCTATTCAAACCCACCGTCTTTGCCGTTCAGCAGCCACCTCCTCATATTTCAGTTCTAACAGCTGCCTTTTTCAGACAAAAAACACGCGCATATAGATACACAATACACACAATATAGAGAGAGAAAGGATAACAACGCAGCCATGTGTGGAATTCTTGCAGTACTCGGTATAGCGGATAATTCTCAGGCTAAACGTTCCAGAATTATTGAGCTTTCGAGAAGGTATTTATTTTAAAGTAGTTTTGGCTTCAAAGTGAAATGTTACATTATCATCTTTTGGATTTGATTTAGCTCTCTAGATTTTCGTATTGGTATATTATCTGTGTTTATGTTGTTTTGGATTTGATTTTCGATTTACTGGTTGAAATGGGAATGCGCATATAAGTGGTTTTTTGTTTTATTTATTTATGTCTAATATAACCGTTTGTATTTTTCTTTAATTAGCTTAATAATTTGTAATATTTGTTTAGTTGATAGAATTAATTGTTATATAACCGTGTAAGTATTCTGTTTACTTGGATTTGTAAGAGTATGCTGTACGAAAAAATATAATTATGCAGACTATTGATGAACTCAACCCAAGGCAATTTCATTTTCATTTGCAGTCATTCACCCCTTGATGTTTGAGTTCTGATTTTGAGAGGATTTTCTTCAATCTATTAGGATTTGTCAAAGCATTTGTATGAAAATTGATAAATTTTGTATTATGTATGTTGTCTCTTGATGAATGTAGTTTATCAACTGAAATAATATCGGATTCTGATAATTCTATTTTTCCTGGCAATAGTTATAATGAACTATCACAATGATGGATTAGCCAAAAGAGCAATTGAACACTCTAGAATTTCCGTTAGAGAAAAATATCTCTTACTTTTGTAATTTTGATTTTGGAAATGTAGGTTGCGTCACAGAGGCCCTGACTGGAGTGGCTTGCACTGTCATGAGGATTGTTATCTTGCTCATCAACGATTGGCTATTGTAGATCCTGCTTCAGGTGATCAACCACTATATAACGAAGATAAAACAGTTGCTGTAACGGTAGGTGAAGTTTTATTTATTGATATTTCTGCATACATGATCGGTTGCAAGAGCATGTACATTAACCCATTCTACCTTGAACTTATTCTTGTGTGGAAGGATCACTTAATTGATAGCCAAATTGCAATTTTAGAGTTTCATTATAAAATCAAGAAAATCACGCACAATAGTTTTTGGTTTCCTTTTAGCGTGTTTGGAACTTTGGATAGATGTGCTTGCCTAGAAAGGTGTATCGGATGTGGGTCCCATTTTGCTTCAAGTGTGAATGTGGAGGACCAGAAATGTATCATCTTTTTCATGCTTAATGTGTCATAATCAGACAATTTTTCCTAAGGCGTCCAATTGCATAATTATGCTTTTCGTTTAGGCTTGTACTGCGAATATGCCCAGTGTACTGATGAACAATGTTCCAAGATCTTGTCTAAATTTAGCAAAATATCCTTGAAGTTTCTTATTATGAATTTATGATAGAGTAGCACATGAAATGGCATGATATATGCCACGTGATGCTGATTCTGATTTTTGCTGTCATTTACATTGTCTAATCATTAATAAGTTTCTCTGGAAGAGTAGCTGCCTCCTTCAAATATAAATTTTCCAACTGGGCTTTGTGTCATGTTTCTTATCTTTCCAGGACTATCATTCTGGTTAGCTCCTACGAGGCACATGATATTCTCGACTAGAGTCTGTTACTGATCCAGGAAAAAAAAAAAAAGGCAATTCTTACTGGAGAACAATAATGAAAATCCAGTTGAATGTTGAACAGTTCATTATGTTTTTTGGTTCACGTGATTTTTCAATTGCACTGAACTGTGATATGAATGGATTGTTCATTTTCAGAAGAACTAGGATTTTGACCTTGCTCCTTTCTGTTCCCTTTTTTCTCGTGCTTCTAGGTTAATGGGGAAATATATAACCATAGGGAACTAAGGGAAAAGCTGAAGTCTCATCAGTTCAGAACAGGAAGTGACTGTGAAGTTATTGCACATCTTGTAAGTGCTTTAACATTGTATTCAGATGAAGTTTTACGTCTCTTTAGTTGACTATAAGCCATATAAACCAGTTAGAAATCTTGTTCTGTGCCAAATATTATAGAAAAACTAATGCACAAGACTTCAAAAAATTATTTGACATTCATCTATATTTTCGTGTGCTTGGCATTTTCTATCTCGCAGTATGAAGAATATGGAGAAGAATTTGTGGACATGTTGGATGGGATGTTCTCTTTTGTGCTTCTTGACACCCGTGATAAAAGTTTTATTGCTGCTCGGGATGCCATTGGCATTACTCCACTTTACATTGGCTGGGGTCTTGATGGTATGTTACTTTCTTTTTCCTGTTATGAAGTCTACAGTTGCTCAACTAAGTATGCACCAGCCATGCTCTAAAATTGTTGTATTATCTTGAATATTTTGTGTGCTACATTACTTGGTGATCCCTAGCCAACCTTATTTAGAAAAGGTTGTTTCTTTGTGCACTAGTTACTCATTAGGTCATTCCTTCCATAGGATGCCATTCATAGGAATGACAGCCTATCTCTTACATATGCCAATTGTCGGATTCTCTTAATCTGTGGTTACTGCTCAACTAACTGCTATGTTTCCTGCAGGATCGGTTTGGTTTGCTTCAGAAATGAAAGCCTTGAGTGATGATTGTGAAAGATTCATGTCATTTCTTCCTGGCCACATATATTCAAGTAAAACTGGTATGCTTTGAAGTTACAGGAATTAACATATGATTTACTTTGGATCCCTAATCTCAATAACTGCAAAACCAGTTTAGCTCCATTTGCTTTACTCCTACAGTATACCTTGTGAATTCGTTGATGAAATTTATGAATCTACATCGCTAATACTTTAAAAATAATGAATCTACTTTTGTACAATACAGATCATGCTTTTAAAAAGCTATAAATATGAAATAAAATGTGATGGTTGTAATAGTTTTTCAACTCTACAAATTCTCAAGTACATTGAAGATAACAAATCACACTATTGTTTTTAAATCAGCCATGTCGTCTGTTGAAATTTTCTGTTATTAGTCAAAATTCAACAATAAATTTTCCCCCTTATCATTTTAAGCTTTTATGATAGGCACTACCAATTAGCTAGGTCCACTGCTATATTTAGTGGGAAGTTGTAAAACAAATGGAAGTGAACTGTTGTGTTTATTCTGTTAAAAATTGGGAACTTGCTTCTTAGGTGGGTTAACAAGATGTTAATTAAACATGTACTTTATTCCATTAAAAACTGGGACTTGCTTCTTAGGTGGGTTAACAGGATTATAATTAAACTACTACCAAGGCATTATATTTCTCTTGCCTGCAGTCATCTATAGTGTCATTTATATTGCGAGGAATATTCATCATTACATTTCATATTCCATATTATGTTGACAGGAGAACTCAGGAGATGGTACAATCCTCCATGGTACTCAGAACACATACCTTCAGCTCCTTATGATTCCCTAGTACTGCGAAAGGCCTTTGAGAAGGTTAGTTGACTATTCCTTACTGGGAGCAAAGACTTATAGTTGTTCAGTATTTGAGTGTAAAATTGTGCTTCCATTGGTAAATCGTTGGTCTACCGTTTGCCTCTTACTACTGGAGATTATTTTCACAGATTAGGGATTTGAGTGTGATCTCTCCCACCTTTGTTCTTCTAGTGTAACTCCTCATATAATCATATCTCGCCTGCACCTCTTCCTTTTCTTTCTCTATGGTTTACTTCCTCATATTTATGCATCATTTCCCCTGCTTCTTTGTTCTTTAACTGTTTCCCATCAATTTATTCACTATTGTTTTGATCCCACTTCTCCTATTCTCTTATTCACTTTTTTTGCATCACTCAGCAATGAAACATATGAAATAGGTTTTCTTGACCTTTCTGCTTATGAAGTCTAGTCATTCTTATTCTTTGCTCATCTTTATTTTTTGTAGGCTGTCGTCAAGAGACTTATGACAGATGTACCATTTGGTGTACTTTTATCTGGTGGACTGGATTCATCTCTTGTTGCTTCAGTGGCTTCCCGCTATATGAAGGACTCAAAAGCTGCCTTCCAGTGGGGGTCCCAGTTGCATTCTTTTTGCATTGGCTTAAAGGTGATAATAGTTACCTCAATTGAACCCACCAATTTCAATATTCCCTTTTTCATTTTATCACTGCCTGAAGCATAGTTTTTACCATTTTTATGTTATCTTGATCCTAAAATGACGCTCATGTTTTACTTTTCCAATTCAAATTGATTTTTAGGAAGCAATTTCTTGTCTCATATATAGTATTATTGTTTAAGGTAATCATCTGGGCAGATAAGCCATTATTTAAGTCTTTTTTCCCGTTAAAAAACCCTTGCTTTAAATTTTATACAGTTAAGAGAGAGAGATTCTTTCAAATCCCTATGAAGTTAATCATAGTTACTTGAATATTCTTATCTATTTCTAATAATGGTGCGAGCTTTTTTAAATCATAATGAACTTAGTAGTGTACAATAGTTTGTTGTTTTGCAACGATTACGACTTTTCATTAGATAAATGCTAATTAAATCTATATTACTAGTTAATCATTATTTACGATCATCCGGTCTGTAAAGACAAACTTATTTCCTCAATTGGTATGGCCTTGTTCCATTTATTGGACTTGTTCCAATACTCTGCTTCTTGTATACCATTCCTGTTCTACTTTATACACTGTCCCTTTAACTTTGCTCACTTAGGTTTATCTCTCAGGGTTCTCCAGATTTGAAGGCTGCCAGAGAAGTAGCAGATTATCTTGGCACTCGGCACCAT